TGCTAATTTGTGCAGAGTGGGAGAAAGCTGTTTTGGCTCACCGAGGGGGGAAAAAAAAGCCCAGTTTAGCCTATATGATGGGATGGATGGATAGATAAGCCAAACTAAGCACAAACACAAACACACACACACAAAAACTCACTTAATACACGTTTGTTTAGCCTGTAATTTTCACATCCTCGTCTAATGTCACATGTGCATTTACTGATAGAAGCAGCTGCTCAAACCTACATTCACATCCAAATGTGGAAGGTGCAGACTTCTGTTCCTCTTACAGTACCTCCTCCTGGGTGCAATTTAGTCATCCTGATTAATATGCACCCAAATCTGTTTCTATCAGAGTCTTCCTCATTATCTCCCTCATTTTTAATTTTCAGTAGCATTCATCGTGTCGCCTGATTGACACCCACTCAAATTTTGATCTGAAACTTTAAAAAGAAAGAAAGAAAATGCACAGTCACAGACTTGTGGCTTTAAGGTCGGCACCACTCACTGATGCTGTTAGCATCTCATTAAGGTCTGTGTTGAAATGGACTTTGCAGCATCAAATAAACACACACACACACACACACAGAGGAAGTGTTACTGTTGCTCTTGGCACCCGCTTAATTAATTCTAACACATCGTATGAATGTGTTAATAGACCATTGTACTGTACCTATTCCAATAAAATGCCGTTGTCCTTTTTTGGCAGGCATTTAAACATTTAGTTATTCTTAGGGTTGGAACAGTCTCCACATTTTCAAGTGAATTTATTCAGCATCTCAGTCCAGCGAGTTAACTGTGGAAATACAAGTGTACTAGCTTTGAAGAGAACCGGTTAATCTTCCATCTATGGCGGATCCTTTGTGGTATACACAGTATGGGTGGCTGCGACCTGTGATGAAACACTATTCCTGCCCACAATGATGGTATCATGACAGCAGTTTTGCAATACTCGATGCTCTGCAAGAAAATTATCTACGATACATCAAATGTCTTAATGAAAAAAAAAAAACAACCTCTGAAAGTGCAAAAAAGCAGGAATTCTGCATTTTTTCACTGCCCTTTGTTGTTAGTGTGCGTACTATCGTCACTATTCAACATCAATTTTGTGGCAGTTCAGTTAATCAGATCTCTGATTTTCTTTTTATTTAGTTTATCCTTTTTACAGCTACTTCCCTTCACTTTAACCTCATTGACTTGATAAGCACCCCAATGAAAAGCCATGAAGTAGTGACTCCTGCAAGTCAAATTATCAATGGAATCTGCTAAGAGTACATGTGTATTTCAATAAAAGCAGTCAAAAGAGGCACCGTGTCCTCTCTGTGCTGCCTCCCCTTTCATCTCACCCACCAACCGGCCCAGCAGATGGATGCCTCTCCCTGATGCTGGTTCTGCCAGGTCTCTTCCTGTTAGACAACAGATCTTCCTTCCTACCATCGCCAAACTCTTTCTCACAGGGAATTGGTGTAATATAACTGAAATTGCATCACAGGAGAAAGTAATGTAATATAATGCCCTAGAAGTATTTTTTTCCACTCTAAATACACTGTGGGACATTTTGTCTATAGCTTCTCAGCATTTAAAGTGTAATGCACACTGTAATTTATGGAGCCAGTCACACAGACGTGGAGACCAGTTGGAGACCACCTTACAACCACCACAAGAGGAAAGAAATGAGCATTTGCCATTTGCTATAGTCACATGTAGTTTGTATGGAAGGTACTAACTTGTCTAAACAGTTGTAAAACAGGAGACTGTGGTCCAAACTAGAAATGGAAATCTTCCACCTTCTGAAGCTTCACCTTTGGAAAGGTAAGGCACATTTAAAAAAACGTTTTAAAGTGCCCACTTTCCAGTATGTATCACGCCTTTTTCAGTTTTACTGCGACTCGGTTTGCAAGTGCGTGGGCGCCTTCCGTCTTCTGTAGGAAGTGCAGGCGTCTGAGGCAATCAGTTTTTTGGTGCAGCATTCTCTTTGCAACCACTTGCCAACCAATCAGGAAAACCACATTTTTTCCTAGAAGCTGGAGGTTACTAGGTGGTCATTTACTGGTCTGTAAGCTTGTGTCAGTGAGGTCTTATTGATAATTTATAGCAATTTGTATGGAGGAAGTGACTAAAACCTTGAAATAAATTCAAACAATTTATTTTTTAACTGCTTCTTTGTTGATATGGTGACAAACATGATTCATACTACACACAAAAAATAGTGCCTTTAAGAAACTACTTTCACTTCTTTCATATGACACAGGGTTAGTTTCTCTTCTCCATTTTTGTGAATGTCAATGTATCATTACGCAGTGATGCGATTTTGTGTATAACATAAGCTTAACCCCCATTGGTTCTATCCACCACATGAGAAAGGGGTCAGAGGTTAATCCCTGCTTGTCACTATTAGCAGAGAACACAGGCTACAGTGGAGCTCTAACACTTTCTACAAATCTCAGACTTGCAGTACATTAATAAGTTTCACATTTACTTCCCCTTTCAGTTTGCTCACTCGCCCACACGTTCATATTCTTTCTGTTTCGCTCTCTCATTAGGGAGTCAGTTAAAGACTTGTAAATGTCAATATCATTAAGTTCATTTCTCTCCATATTATAGATACCAGCGCAACAAAGGCAGGCATCTAGCCCAAAGTTAACCGAGGAGTAGAGCAGGAGGGGATAAAGTGTGTTGGTCTAATGGGGTATAATTTTGTACATGCATTATATTATGCTCCAAGCTCCAATAAACGCATAATTACACCAAAGCTTTCGAGCAGACATCAAATTTTATGGAAGACTAAAACTTTCTAGATTTACAGCTTTGCTAAGAAACTCTAAAAACACTATTTCAATTTCATTCATATACTTAAATGAAAACTAAAATGAAACTTGAAAGCCTCTGAGAGCCACTTGTTGTTTTGGGTTTTATTAAATACATGGATGTAGGCAGTCGGTTGAGTTGTTTTCGTGTCTCCTGGACTGACTCATTGCTGTCAAGATCAAAGCAGAGGCCTTACAATCCGGAGGATTCATGGTTCTTCTTGTCACTGAAGTTAGTCCTTTACAATCACTCTCGTGCTTTGTATTTGGCACCAGTAAGCTTTCCGCCTCAAAGTACTGCGGGATGGATACCAATCTAAAGATCACGAATGCCTAAAACTTCTGCACCATTGTCTATGTGCATGCGTCTGTCTGTGTGTTTATGCCATTACGTGGGTCACCACTGCAGGCAATGAAACATACTATTAGCAGACTACAGCTCCGAGCCTTGGCACCCATATCTGTGACATCACTGCTGCATCAGCATTTCGTCCTGCCACATGGGACAAACATACCGCTTGTGGGTTGATGACATGCTTATGTGGCACGATCATCCTACGTTCCTGTCAACAAGAAGATGAAGTTCCAACCAAATTTGCTTGTGCCACGTGCACTTTCACGTAAATGCACATAAAGTGACACACGCGGAGCGAATTCTAAACGGAGTCTGTCACTGAATAGCAAATTGTCATGTACTAAAAACAACACGCAACGTCAGCTAGTGGAAATGATTGCATGGCTGGGCCGAAATGATAAGTTCCCTCATAATCAGACACTGACAGGGTGTACTCTTAAGCCACATATTAGCAAGCAAGAGAAACCTGATCACCTCTGAGCATTAATGTTCTGTAATCACCTGTGGTGTACACGACCCAAGGACAAGACTGGATCAATTGCTCAGCTCTCAGTAAACACATGTAAGATGTACACCACTGAATTAATTGTACTGGATAACCTGTTCAACTGCTCATTATCCAAGTATCTAATCAGGTAATCACATTCCAGAAACTCAGCACATGTGCACACGCAGACACTGTCAACATGACCTGCTCAAGTTCAAACAGAGCAACAGAACAGAGCGGAGAAAAGTGATTGAATTTACTTTGAACGTGGCATGCTTGTTGGTGCCAGAAAAGCTGGTCTGAGTGTTTCAGAAACTGCTGATCTGCAGGGATTTTCACCACATAACCATCTCTACGATGATCCAACACAGAGAAAATATCCAGTTAGCAGCAGCTCTCTGGGTGAAAAAGCCCAGTTGAGATGAGGGGAGATTATCCAGACTGTTTTGAGCTAATAGGAAAGCAACACAAACTCAAATAACCACTCGTTACAACCAAGATACGCAGAAGAGCATCTCTGAACACACAAAACGTCTAACCTTGAAGCAGATGCGCTGTAGCAGCAGAACACCACATCATGATGGTTTTGAAAGAGGAGTGGAAGAAGCTATCTATGTCCACTGTGAACGACCCTCTTTGGCGGTGGTTTATGGCACCAACTGTCTGTCATCTATAATCCAGTTTTAAGTTCCCTTCCCAGACGCCTTAACGCCCGCTCATATCCTGGGCCTTCTGACCTCAGAAAATCACATGATAGGGTGGGGCTTGGCTGACTGTGGCCTACACCCGTTTTCACACCTTGGCTCATGTGATTAGGTAGAGGATCATCTGGGGGGGTCCATTGTCCCTCTTTGGGGGGGAAACTCCCACAGGGCTTAAATCTGGGACTCCACCATTTGACCCTAGAACTGAAGAAGCTTCTTGGATGAGAGGTGAAACATCTTCAAGCAACTTAAAGAAGTCCAGACGCTTTTCTTTCCAAGCTCCTTAGACTACGATGACCTGAATGACTGAGAACCTTCACAGACATGCCATACTGTGTGCTTCTCCTGTCAACTAAGAACAGGAAACTGAGGCTAAGGTGGATCCAGCACCCCTGGTACCCTGGTACCCAGCCCCCCTGGAACCAACAGTTTGGTGTGTGGTGGTGTAATGAATTTTGAGGATATTTTCCCTGCAAACTTTTTGGCCTCTTATTACCATTTGAGAGCTTCGACTACCCGAGTATCATTTCTGACCAACCTGTAAAAACCTGTAATAAAAATTTGTACGGTGAATCCAAACAATGACAAGACTGATCCAAGCCATCACCACCGATCCAAACACAGTTCACACACATGCAGTTAAACAGACAAATAAGCCCTACCAAAATGGTTGTGTGCCGTTGGTTTAATAAGTTCCAGAGGCTTCTCCGTGCTGGTTAATCCACCTGTCAGAGAGAAGGAAAAGTTAGGCTAAATATGGTCTTTAATGTGGCAACAAAATAACTTTAAAATAGAATTCAAAATTAATTCTCAATTTTGCATGGACTGTGCAGGATTGGATTAAGTTAAGTAGGATTAATTTCAGTCATCTTTGCAAGCCCTCATTAGTGAGTGAGAGTATTAATATTTATATTGGGATGCTTATGAAATTAGCATTAGTGAAATCTGAGTAGAAAAGTACTGAAGATGACTTAAAAGCATTCACAAGCACAATGTCAAAGTCTCTTCTTAAATGGATCAGTCTTCAGGCTTTCTTAATCTGGCTTCACTGCTACAGATATCTGCTCAAAAGAAGGCCTGGTGTACTTATGACTGTACTTATCAATATGTCAGGAGATTTTAACAATGTTTCCGGCTTCTTTTAGGAATCCAAACTGCATGATGTAGTACAGAAAGCTGGAAGTCCAGAACTTGACTTAAGCCTTGTCCATTACACATGTCCTCCATGCCAGGCCCCTGTCGTATGATGGAGTGCATGTGTAATTATTAGCTGCATGTGATAATAAAACAATTAGCAAGTGATTCACCCCTGGACTAGCCTTTAACAAAAATGTAATAAAAGAGAATTCAGTAATTTCCAAAACTCTACATTTAATTGGAAACTAATTGGAAGACAACAGCTGCTGAAACTGAGGACTGGATCTGTGCAACAGCTTTCAAAACACATGAGAAACGATGAAAGCATTTGAGATTTGAAAGGAAAATTTCCTGGTTTTTAAAGAGCTTTCCCCGCACCTCCACTCTAGTCTGAATTTCAGCTGCTCAACAATTTACAGCTTACTTTGTTTCTAATTTACTTCTACTTTATAGTTTCAGGACATACTGAGGATGGTGGTCTAAAAGTTTTCAATGAGTAAGTTTCGCACCCAGAAACTTTCTTTTTGTGCTGTATCAGGTGTAGAATGAGGTTTGGTATTGTCTTGCTGAAATAATAAAATCCTCCCCAGAAAAGAGATTCATGGGTGTCAGTATATTTCTCCACAACCTTTATATAAATCATTAAGCATTAAAGGTGCCTTCACAGATGTGTGAGTTACTCATACCATATACACTAATGTAGCTCTAATATCATTTAGCTTTAATATCTTTTTTCCCTCTTTAGCCTGGATAATTTAGCACTAGGGCTGGGCTATATCATACCGTTCACGGTAATACCGGTGTAATTTTGGGCAACGATAGGAAAATGAAATATCGCGATAGAATATGGGTAAAACGCGCATGCGCACTGCCTATGTTTACATACGCACATGGCGGCGACGCAGAATGAGAAGAGCGAAAGCGGATCGTTAAATGAAACAGATGAACCAGAACTGGTTTGTTAAAATGCTGCAACTTCAGTGGTGTGGAACTGGTTTAGCTTTCGTCCATCAGATACACAACAAAGCACTATTTTTGGTAGAGCATGCTAGCGGGCCGT